CCTCCCCACTGGCCGCTATGCAGCCGCAGCAGCCGCGCGGACGCGCGGCCATGTCCGCGGGGTCGCGGCCTAGACCGCGGCCGCGGACTTGGCCGCGGATGGCCGCCGCCGAGGGGGATTCGTAGCCTAGCATACAGCCCCACTGGGAAACTGCGCTTTATTGCAGCTGTACTTTTTGCTGCTGCTGCTGCTGCAGAAGCTGTTGGGACACTGGTGGGACAGGTTGCTGAGGTGGCGGCTGTACTTGCTGCTGCTTCAGAAGCCGTTGTAAAGGCTGCTGGACATACGGCTGCCCTGTAGCTGYAGCCGCGGGACGGGGGACTGAAGAGGACTGTCCCAGGGTCTGTCTGCTAACACCTGCTAATTTACCGCTTGCTGGACTAATGCCAAACTGTGGGACAAAGGGGCTTCTCATAGGTGGCAGCGTCATCGATGGACCCGCAACYGTAGGAGGGGCTACAGCAGGTTGCACTGGCCTAGCCGTAGGCCTTGGCGCTAAGCGCAGCCATGATCTGGTTCTGGCCAGCTATCAGTGCGGCCAACRTTTCCTGTTGTACGGCCTGTACTTCGGCCAGACTCACGCGACTGCGCCGAAGGGACCTGAGGGATCAAGTGCTGACTGATGAATAGCTTCCAGCCTACCTAGCTCCTCTCCCCTAGCCTTACTSTAGCTTTCCTTGTTCATGCTCTCCCTCTCCTATCCTCTACCTCCTGTAATCGGTGCTGTACTGATTGACGAAAGGCTGGGACATACACTGACTTACACCTGACGAAGAGGTCTGAGAAAGTGATCGGCCGACTGAGTGCCTGTCTACGGGTAGACCTCCTATCGTCCTGGTCCAGATATGTCAGAAAGTAGTCGAGCGGTAACACCAGATAAGCTCAGACCCCTACAGACAATTCTAGTCCTATTTTGACTACCATCTTCACCCGAATAAAATGTACGGCCATTATTGCTGTATCTAGACTCGGAGTTGCCCCAAATACAGCTACAATGATTGTACGTTGTATTCGGGTGAAGATGGTAGTCTAAAACAGATTGCAATGCGGCAAAGAATAATTACTACTATACCTGCAACAGTAGTCTAAAACAGATTGATGCGAGGCCACTGCCTCTATGAGTCCCCGTTGTGGAGCAAGTCGGCCGCCCGAAATGAAGGCAGGCTCGATGAGGCCCTCAGGGCCTTATTTTGGCCACTGTGCAACTAAGGAAATTCAGGCAGTTGCGCAGAGCCAGTTGGTTGAGAGAACCCAGGCCCTGGGCTGCCTGTGTGAATGTATGGGAAGCAGGCCCTGGGCTGGATACGGGTACTGGGCCAAACACATGCCAAAGGCAGTTGGGTGCATGCAACCACCTCAGGCCCAAGGCCTGTTCTCAATTGTGCTGGGCCTCAGGCTACCGGGGCCTGCTGGAAGCTTCCTGGGACGGGACGCAGGCAGGCCACTTCGATATAGCAAAGGGCCTGCCTCCGCATTCATCATTCGGGTGCTGGCTGCATGCTGCGCAAGCGCTGATGCGCTATTTGCTGGCCAGCGCTCATGCGCTCACGGGCGACCAGGAAGGAGCGGGCAGCCATAGCCGAGCTGCGCTGCTGTAAGCTGGGTGTGGCGCAGGGTGGTCCTTGGGTGCATGTGGCATCTGTGTGTTGGGGAACGAGGTTGTGAGTAAGGTGAGAGACATACCTGGTGCTGGAAGCGTGCGACATTGGTCGCTGTATGCTCGTACTTCGGGAAAGCTGTTGTCGTCATCATTCGGCATTGTCGTCTAGTCTAGATAGGATCTCCCATTTGTAGTCTGGGCGCCGAGCACCAGATAGGATATCGACATTGGTTCTTCATTGATGATGATGATGAGACTTTACCAGCATTGTCAACTATGAGCTCTTGGTGTCTTCTTATTTGGTGAAACTCGTGATGCAATTCTGCTGTTGGTTCGAGGTCACGACTATCTGGTCTTGTGTATATGATGTTGTTTGATAGCTGAAGTTCGCTATTGCTCATCTTCCTTGCAATTTGGTATCGGAGCTGAGGTACAATTGCGCTCATCTGGTGCTTGTCTTCTGCCTAATGTGGTACATACATGCGGTCTGCTTGGTGAATTGGGCCGTAAGTGGTGTGTAGTGAGGAGGGCGGAGACGAGTGTGTGGCGACCCAGGAGGTGAGGGGATCGCCAGGAAGGCTACGTGGTGTATGTGTGATTGGTGCTGAGGTGGAACAGCGTGTAATGCTGGTTGTACCGAAGCAATGACTGGTTATCACAATCGGCATCAGGTCATTTGGTGAGATTATCTTTGTGGTTGGGGGCAACTATTTGAGGTACGTTGCTCTTAACCTTATCTACCCTCTTCGACACTTCTTACCGTGAGGTTGTGTTCCTTCTTGAGAGTCCTCTCATTGTGAGGTGTCGAGTGCGCTCAACCTTGAGAGTCGGCAATGTTCACGTGGAACATCTGGGAGAAGATGGGCGGAGCTTTCTGAAGGGCCCTGGACGAAGCACTGGGTCACGGTCACCATGCCAACCCACCGGGAGTAGAGCACACATGCTTTGCTGCTTGGCCTTTGTTTGGCTTGCTGCGCTGTTAGATGGGTACTGAAGGGCAGGCCAGCCCTAAGGGAGACGAGACCGGGCGTCTTTAAATAAGCACCGGAAGGGGAAAATCATTGGTTGTGATCGTCGTCCTGCTGCAACGTAAAATAATTCCTGATGACACTTGGGGGCGGTCGTTAAATTGCCTCTGGATCAGCCAATGATTCTAAGGCTCGCTGCACGCAAGGATAATCCAGTGAAGGGCTGGCCAGCTCAGCAGATACTCGGGGCACAGGGGTGGGCCGAACACACACCTTTTAGACACGCAACACTCTCCGGATTGCTCAGGGACGCTGACATCAAGAGACATTAAGGGGAACTAAGGGAGGGGTAGATTTCAGGTGATAAGTTCGAGAAAAATTCCGTACTGTCCTATCCACACATGATTCTATTTTTATGTTTTGATTAGTTAGATGTACAGCCATTTGTCATTGTTCATTGTGCATTTTGTTTGCGGATTAATCAGACTAAAAATTGTTTCGTTTGTAGGAATTTGACTTACCTGTATCTACTCCGAAACAGCCACCAATTAATTAGTTATTTATTTTAAATTGGTTTGTGCACTACACTGCGGTAGGCACCCAGAGTGCAGTAGTGCAGATTGTGTACAGTGTTGTAGCTTATGAGCGACGAGGAGGACACTAGAGAGGACGACCGGATCTTGCGATCGGCAAGGCGCTCAGTTGCCCATTTGGCATTAGGTCTAGAGGGTGACAAATATCTTTTCCGCCGGCGAAGGGAGAGGCAGCAGCAGCAAAGGAGAGCTAGGGCTGAAGAGGCAAGCAGAGCATTCGTAAGTGAAGCCGCAGCTTCAGCAATCATGGCCACTTATGCGCAACAGAGTTCCCAGGCTAGTAGTTCAAAATCTGTAGGGTCAACGGTCGCGCGGACCCTGAGTCAGTCCACTGGCGTAATGGCAAGCCAGCCAATAGTGTTGACTTCCGACGAGATCTCCATACTACCAGCAGCATTGCAGGAGGCACAACTACAGAAGGCATTAGGAGAGATAAAAGCGGAGAAAGAAAGGATGATTAGAAGAAGAGCTAGGATGCAGCGGAGACAAGCGGACGTTAGTGAGCTAGACGAGATGGAGCTGACGCACGTGACTGATGATGTGAGGACCATACGGTCTGTCCTGCTAAATGTAGTTGAAATGCAGGACCATCAGACAACCATCCTTCAGGACATTCAACAAAGTATCGCCATGTTGGTTGGGCGAACGCAGGCAGTGAGTGCCATCAATGTCCGGGCTTGGTGCCTGGCCCGTTGTACAACCTCCTCCTTTTGTCCCACCGGTGACTGGGGTATCCCCATATGTAGCCCCATCATCGGTCGCGATCGTTTCCCTAGGCATGCCGCTATCAGGAGGGTTATCAGCAAGATCTAGTTTGCAGGTTCCTGTACATACAGTGTTTACCCAATCTCCGTTGCAGGTTGCAGTTACCACGCAACCTGCTGTCTCGCAGCCTGTACAGCTGCAGGGTACACAGCCCAGCAGCTAGCACAGCAGCCTGTGTCACAAGGTCCACAGCCTGGAGTGATGCAGGGACCGGGACAAACACAATGGGTACCAAAGACGGCCATCGCCACTCCCAAACCCTTCACAGGGGATAAGAGGGGCGAAGACCTCGACACGTGGTTGAGGGCAGTGCCAGTCTATGTCAAGTGTAAGCTCACCTTGCCGCACGAGGAAGTGCTTGTGGCCGCATCCTATCTAGAGGGTAGTGCAACACGATGGTTGAGTGGTTTAGTGCAACTACAGGGGTACGGTCATGACTTCCACCCTTGGGCGGTCACCCAACAAGTGGATGACTTCCTTAAACTGGTGGAAGAAAGGTGGCATGATCCTCACTGAGGTTATCTTGACACTGCACACGAGGCAGTTTAAGTCAATAAGGGAGGCCACCGACGTGGTAGAGTGTCTGATCTGTGCCCCTAAAGTGCGCTATGATCCCCAGGTTTTACTCACCTCCTACCTGAGATGCTTTCCAATGCCTCTCAGGAATCAGTTGGCAGGTGAGGCCAACATCAATGTTCACAACTTTCCCTCGTTCAACAAGAAGGCCCTAGACCTGGAGGCGAAGATAGGGCATGGACATAATCCCACAACGGACAGTAGGAAGAAAACACTGCCTCCCAACTGGAAGGCGAAGGGCTGCATTATGTTTGTCGATAACGATGGTTCAACCATCGAGTTAGACGACAACTTCCAGGAGGGAGTAGGTTCAAAGGCTGGCAGCAGAGAAACTTCAGAGGGTGGAGTAGTTGCTGCCGTAGCTCAGAAAGGTAAGGCGACCGGTAGACGCCGCAGAGGCTCCCGGTCAAGGAGTCAAGTTGACCCCAACGCTCCCCCATGGGAGAAGGCGGGTCTCACAGAGGACTGTGGAGAGATCGATATACACGGCAGGCCTGTATTCGTTGTGGTCAATATGGCCATAACCAATTCAAGTGCCGCAACAAGAAGGTGACCGATAAGATCCCGCCTACGATGGGGCAGGCGTTGGGATCCCCCCATCCTGTTGGTAGCAATGTAGCTAGTACGTCTGGCACTGCGCCGGGAAACACATCGGACCAGTAGGAGTAACAGTTTTTCCCGCTAGGGTCGAGGTGGTGGATACACCCTCACCATCTCGAGAGATGGCCCAAGCTACTGACTCCAGCGTCGTCCCGCAAACACGTTCAGACCCATCGACCCTCTGTTCGATGAATGTGTTCGAGTCCTTAGAGGAGCTAGAGGAGTGGTCTAGATGAGACCGGCTAGCTTCTTGGACGGCCTTAGTCAAAGCCCCGAAGGGTGAGATGTTCGTCAGCGAGGTGGTCATTGGCGGCCGCAAGGCCGGGGCCTATTATGACACTTGCTCGACTAGGAACTTCATTAGTCGCGCGTGCGTTGAGAGGCTGCGCTTACAGGGGCAAGTGCAGCGCCTGAGTCGACCTGTGGAGTCGACCTATGCCAAGAAACACGCATGGTAGTCAACGACTACCTCCAAGATGTCAAGTGTTGTTTCCCGTACGCGGGAGGGGAATTGAGACATCGCGTCTCGTTCCTAGTGAGTGACGAACTCCCCATGGATATGTTGTTAGGTATGTACTACCTCTTTGTGGCACAGCCCCAGTTTGACTGGGACCGAAAAGTGGTCAAACACACTTTGCCAGGTGGAGGGACCGCCAGATTACGTAAGTTTAAAACTAGTAGTCCGATTGAGTCCCACGGGTGCATGTGTGCGGCCGGTTCTACAATTATTATAAGCAAAATCAGGAGGAGGGTATGTATCTAGTTTATGTCTCTGCTGCAGGCGAGCCGGTGAAAATGCTGCTGGAGATAGAGGGAGTAGTTGCCAAGTACCCTGATCTATTTGAAGAGCCGACAGGGGTTGTAGAGAGGGAGGTTGTCCACGCGATAGAGATTATCCCAGGGTTTAGCATCCCGAAGGGTAGGATCTATCGGATGTTCGTGGAGACTTGTCAAGTCTGTCAGAGGGACAAGCCACGTACGCTGGCTCCTCTTGGGCTCCTGAAGCCCCTTCTGATTCTCGAATGGCCTGGTGAGAGCTTGTCCATGGACTTCATGGATACACTGGTCACCAACAAGAGTGGGATGAGATACATCTTCGTTATCGTGGATAGATTTAGTAAGTATGGTAGGTTAGTAGCAATGTCGAAAACAGCAAGGACGGAGTATGTGATCAGAATGTTCAAAGAGAATTGGGTCAGGGATTTTGGTTTACCGAAGTCCATTATCAGTGACAGGGATGTCCGATTTACCAGCGAGTTGTGGAAGGCCGCCGCTGCGGAACAGGGAACATAGTTGCAAATGACTTCTGGGAACCACCCAGAGGCCAATGGCCAAGCCGAGCAACTGAACCGCGCTGTTCAACACCTGTTGAGGCATTACGTCAAGCCCAACCAGGTGGACTGGGATGAGAAGCTTGCTCTCATCGCCAGTCTGTACAAATAATGTTGTACACAGCACCATCAGGGTGAGCCCAAACAGTTTGCTATCGACTTTCAAGCCTAGACTATCCTTAGATTTTCTCCTTCCTGAGAATCAGTCAACTGCTGCACCAGGTACTTCAGAATTTGCTTACCGGTACGAACAGAAGATGAAGCAGGCTGTAGAACAGATGCAGAAGGCACAAGCGGCTATGATAGAATCAGTGAACAAACACCACCGCAAGTCTTCATTTCGGGTTGGGGATAGAGTCTGGGTTAAGTCCTCAGAACTGGGACAGGAGCACGGGATCTCTCGCAAGCTCATGCCACAATACTTTGGACCATGGGAAGTCTTAGATATTGTTGGGACTGATCCGGATGGACCTTCTTACGTAGTCAGGATCCCTGGTCATCTTCGTACTTATCCCGTCTTTCACGCCTTGCACCTTTTGAAGAAACAGATCAGTTTCCCTCTCGTCGCTCAATGCTGCCCCCAGCCATGGACGGAGAGGTGGATATCGATGATATCGTGGACCACAGGGAGCTGCCAGCACCAAGACCAACAGGCAGGGGACGTCCTCCGAAACCGAAGGTGCAGTACTGTGTCCGGTTCCGGCATCACACTGGTCTGAAGGAAGACCGCTGGTTCACCAGGGAGGAACTCATGCAGACCGCTCCACAAGTTGTAGCCCACTACGAGAGATCTCTGCAGAAGGGAAAGCGCCCTATGGTTGAAGACTGAGCTTCTCAGAGGACTGTTGAAGCTAAGGAGGAGGGAATGTGAGGCCACTGCCTCTATGAGCCCCATTCAGCCCCCTTTGTGGAGCAAGTCGGCCGCCCTAAGTGAAGGCAGGCTCGACGAGGCCCTCAGGGCCTTATTTTGGCCACTGCGCAACTAAGGATATTCAGGCAGTTGCGCAGAGCCAGTTGGTTGAGAGAACCCAGGCCCCGGGCCGCCTGTGTGAATGTATGGGATGCAGGCCCTGGGCTGGATACGGGTACTGGGCCAAACACATGCCAAAGGCAGTTGGGTGCATGCAACCACCTCAGGCCCCAGGCCTGTTCTCGATCGTGCTGGGCCTCAGGCTACCGGGGCCTACTGGAAGCTTCCTGGGACTGGTCGCAGGCAGGCCACTTCGATATAGCAAAGAGCCTGCCTCCTCATTCGGTATTCGGGTGCTGGCTGCATGCTGCGCAAGCGCTGCTGCGCTATTTGCTGGCTGGCGCCTACTCGCTCACAGGCGAGCAGGGAAGGAGCAGGCAGCCATAGCCGAGCTGCGCTGCTGTAAGCTGGGTGTGGCGCAGGGTGGTCCTTGGGTGCTAGTGGCATCTGTGTGTTGGGGAACGAGGTTGTGAGTGAGGTGAGAGACATACCTGGTGCTGGAAGCGTGCGACATTGGTCATTGTATGCTCGTACTTCGGGAAAGCTGTTGTCGTCATCATTCGACATTGTAGTCTAGTCTAGAGAGGATCTGCCATCTGTAGTCTGGGCGCCGAGCGCCAGATAGGATATCAACATTGGTTCTTCATTGATGATGATGATGAGACTTTACCAGCATTGTCAATTATGAGCTCTTGGTGTCTTCTATTTGGTGAAACTCGTGATGCAATTCTGCTGTTGGTTCGAGGTCACGACTATCTGGTCTTGTGTATATGATGTTGTTTGATAGCTGAAATTCGCTATTGCTCATCTTCCTTGCATTGAAATGCAGCAATGAATAATTACTACTCTGCTTGCAACAGTCTGTCAGCTGTCAGCAGTGTCCGTAACTAATCAAAAATAAAAATAAAATCATAATTGACAATCGAGCAGTTTACTGGAATCCACCCTCCCCCTGAATCTTTCTCGAGTTGTCACTTAAACCACCAGTGCATGGCCCCAGGCAACTGGAGAACTTGTTTCGAGCCTCTCCGAAAATTTAGTAGCCCGAGATACAATGAATCGGCGGTGGGCGGCCTCCGAAAGGGGCTTGCGGCCGATAGCTGGCATGTACTGGTGCTTTAATGTCGACGTTCCGAAAGCTCTGGTCGAGCAGCATGTCTAAAGGTGCACAATCGGCCCACCCCTGGTCCCAAAGTCGATGCAAGACTGGCCAGCCCAGTCCGGACTATTTTTATACTCATGTACAGTGTGAACCGTGTATCCCTGCCGGCGTCTCTTTATAGATGGTCTGGTACTAGTCTCTCCCCCATAGGACTGGCCTGCCCGACACAACCACTACAGCGCAGCAAGCAGACCAAAGGACAAGCAGCAAAGCATGCGTGCTCTACTCCCAGTGGGTTGGCATGGTGACCGTGACCCGAGTGCTTCGTCCAAGGCCCTTCGGAGGCAACGCCCGTCTCCCACCAGCATGCTCCCCAAGAAGAATGTTGACTCTCAAGGTTGAGTGCTCATGATACCGCACTATGAGAGGACTATCAAGACAAAACTCACTTCCTCACGGTAAGAAGTGATGAAGAGGTTAGATAAGGCAAGGAGCAACGTACCTCATAGTTCTTCCCCCAATCACAGATCTCCCACCAGTTGACCTGACGTGCATTTATGATGACTGGTCAGTGCCTCAGCACAAACCACAATATAATGCAGTTCCACGTCGGCTTAAATGCCACGTCAGTGAGCTCTCATCATCCAGTGTGCACCCCAATGTCACCACATAGCCATCCTGGTGCGCCCTCTCAACACAGGGCCGCTAATATACCCGACGCACAAGCCTTATCACCGCCTTGCCATCCCACGACAAAGCGCCGAACAGCTATTGCGCTGGAGCCAGCGGAGTGGCTGCTCCAATACCGAATTGCAAGGGAAGTGAGCAATAGCGAAAAGTGAGCAATAGCGAAATGACAGAATTCCAGACTGCAAAATCACACAGAAAGCCAGATAGTCGTAAGCTGTCCAGAAAGCAGAAATGCACTGATGTTACACCGATCAAGGGCATGCTGAGGACCTAAATCCGCGCAGTATGGCAATTAGTGAATAATTTCTGAAGTCCTTTCTGACAAACCAACAGTTTGCTGACTGTATCCGTTACTGATATTGGTTATGCAGCACTAAGAAGGCAGAAAAAATTCACAGCTTCGGAAGCCAGTAGTCAGCATCATAAGTAGGGTCTGATGTTCTGCACTGTCCCATGGTTGGTGTTGCTTATGTTTTGCGCCTTTCCTGAGCCATTGATCGAATCCAAATCGATCTATATGAGCTATCACCTAGTCCTGCAGCACACATGCATATGTGCAACTTGACCCTTCTTCCTTTCCACATCCACGCGGTTTATCTGAGAATGACTGTACCTGCACCACATCCGTCAGCAGCTCGACCATTTGCCGGAAGATAATGATGGGAGTCTGCAGCATTGACCTTGCCACCAGCAGTTCTCTGTGACCCAGCTATATTTCCTAACTGTCCTGGGCAGTTTGCAGGGTTTTCTTGGCAATAAATAGCATTCTTGTGCATGGTATCGCATTTTGTTCATGAACAGCCCAGCCATCTGTGCTCCTGTGTTTGCTGGTACGACTGCCTGTCAGTTTGGGAGATGTGTTCAGCAGGCCAACACCTTTTGTGAGGAGCAGACCATCTGCGTTGACTGTGTTTTCTCATACGAGTTAGGTCTAATATCATACAAGATTCACTTAGCGGGTGTGGTGCTCATGGTTCCCGAATGTTGGCCACCCTCATATGTTCCTATTTGTATGACCAGGTCTGGTGGTGAATCTGGTGATTGAGATGTGACTTTGACTATTTCGGCAGTTGTCTTTGGACTTCGGCTCTTAAGCCCATCAGTGAGCCCACTTAGAGTTCTCAAAATTCGCCACATGATGACCTTCTCTCCTTTTGCTGTGCTTGCCGCTGGCTTGTAAGCACCTGGTTCACCACATAATGACCTTCTCTCGTTTTCCTGTGTTCGGCTTGGATTCCATCTGATTGTCCCTGGGTTGGGATGTATTGAGGTCCTGCTGTCTTTTTCGACAGACTAGTGGCATGACCCACAAAACGGCTTTGAATGATGATTAATGGTGTTGTATCCCCTGAGGCTTGGTGTGGCCCATTTCTTGTGGCTTTTACCTGGTCAACAGCTTGGTTCCATCTGATTGGCCTGGGTCGGATTGTATGGGAGGTGCTGCTGTCTGTTTCGACCAGTGGCGTGTCCCACATTACGTTTTGAATGGTGATTAATGCTGTTGTTGCCCCCAAAGTTTGGCGTTGCCCATTTCTTATGGTTCGGCGGGCACAGTTCCTTGAAGTTTTGAATAGCTTAACCTCGGAAAGACGTAAGATGTTGTGGAACGTCAGGACTTCTTGAACTCTTGTGTTACTCTTATGTGACATTATAATTCCTTTTGGAACCTTGTACTGCCAAAAATATAGATCTCTGTGGCCTGTTCTCTGCCTGGCAGCTTGGGTCAATCTCTGTCTCAAATCCTCTCAGCTTGGCTTGAAGAAAGTGAAAAGATGGGAAGTTTGCTATTTGCAATAATAACCCAATTTCAGCATCTGTGTAGGCACGGACCAGGGATCGTAACTTGTGGTCAAAGGTCCGCATAAAGGGGGGCAAAGTCACGCCCAAGTCTGAGAAGAGTCGGGGAAAAGGCCTAAGGCCAGGGAAGTACCCCAGGCCAAGTCAAAAACGGACTTCAGAGGCCCTACGAGCGACAGTTGGCCTTGGAAGTCAACAGTCAACTCAAGTGCGGTTAGCCACGGCCGTCGATCAGATGCTTATCTTTGGTTGTCTGCAGGTATCCAAAAGATTCTAGTCCGATCGGGACACAAAGGGAATTGGGACTGCACTGCATCCAGGCCATCGGCTACTGATTCATCTCGACGGACGACCTCAGGGAACCAGAGGCTGCTCAACGCGAGTCGATGTTATAAAGTTGACCCAGCCCCTGCTTGAGATCATTCCACCTTGCACTGGTTTGATGCTGGTTCGACAACGCAAGGCTATGGGAGCTTTATGCTGGCGCCAGTGTCTGATTTTGGGCGCCAGGCAGGAGGGAGATTATGATGTTGCAGCCATAGCCGCATCGAGTAGACCTGGTAGGAGAGGAGGTGAAACGGTTTTCACCTGTCAGCAGTAGTGAGTGCAGATCCCAGGGCTCGATCCCTAGTCAGCACCTTACCTGTGTACAGTATTTGTGTCGACCCCGAGAGTTGAACCCGTGATCTGTGTATTTGTAACAGTTGGTAGACTGTCGTCGGGTCCGTAGGTAGCAGGGGTTCGATCTGTAGATCTGTCGAGTAGAAGTCTTAGGGGGTTCTAGATGTGGTAGTTGTAGAACTTCTGAAAGGTCAAGGTCGT